TCTTTGGGGCTGCAGAAAAAGTAAATGTCCTGGGAGAAATGTTGTTTTCACCTTAGATACAACAGATATAGCTCAGATTTTTAAATATTTTACAGGTCTATATTGTTGTAAAACAAGCTGTAGTTTCTACGACCCAAGTGTAAAATAAGAGCTTCCCTGAGCCTGAGGGTACATCTGTCATAGATAAAGAGCAGTGTGGAGATGATGGTCACAGCTCCCGATGTTTCCCTGTGAAGCTGTTTTTACTTCCAAACATCTGGAAGAACCTAAAACTACCTGTTGAACCAAACTCAGAGTCAGAAATGAGCCCACGCACTCACATTAGTTGCTAACATAAGTTGAGCAGCTTGAAGAATGAAAGGCGACATGAAAGCACAGCGAACTGCAGCCAGTCCTCATTTATCGCTCCGAGGCGGCGGCTCGGCTCCATGCACGACAGAACGACTCCATCTGCAGCGGACTTTGAGCTTTATAACCCCGCAGACATTTTACATCAACAAAGCACTTCAGCTTTATAAAATCACTGTTGTTTGCAGCTTCTCTGTCCAGCATTAATCACCGGTGGCTTTAGGTTTCACTCATTTCACTCTTATTTTGGCGGATTTTAGAGGAAGCGTTTGTAAAAACTGCTCATGCTGCTTAAAAACTTACAAACAAACACTTGAATTGATGGTTTTGTTTCTGAATGTTTGGTTAAAAAATACTTTAAAAGTAAGTGAAACTACTTCTCCATCCTCCAGGCTTCAAAATAAAAGCCTCCAGTCATTGCTAAGTAAGGAAACAAACACGATTCGTTCTTTTTTGACTCTTTGAAGTAGAAAAAAGAAGAAAAGTCGTAAATCATTCCTGCTGCTAAAGCTCTCTGATATCCCGATATCCCCGCTCACTCTGATGAGTTCTTACCTTTAGAGACGCAGCAGCAGCTCCGTTATGAGCCAGGACGAGGCTGGGTGTGGTGTTTAAATACAGGCTGACTCACACACACACGCACGCACACACACACACACACTCTGCCTTCTGACTGCCTGCATGACTCACTGAGTTTTACACATCAGGCTGAACACATGGGCAGAAATTCCTCAGCGAGGCTCAAATCGCCTCGCCAGGGGCCGAGAAAACACTCGATTCTTATTGGCTGGCTGGCTGGTGGGAGGCTTTAAAAGTTAGATATGAATTTTTTCTTAAATTCAATCTGAGCTCATGATTTAACTCCTTCCTGCATCGTCTGTGAGTGAAGTTCATGAAACAAAGCAAAGTGAATGAGGGTGATTCAGAAAGGTTTCTGCTCCGTGATCAGCCAGGTGAAGTCAGGCTGCTAGTTTTATATCATCCGATGGGCCTAACAAGCTGGTTATATAACCACAGAGTCAGTCTGCCTTTCTCAAGTGTCGTGGCAGAGCGGGGTCCACAGGAGGTCACCGACTTTAGCTTGTTATCTTTGTCGTCACCCCGTCGGGCTGGTGGGCAGAAGATGTGAACACCTAAGCTTTAAATGCAATAACTCGAGAAGGAAGTCACCTAGGATTTTCAGATTGATACCATAGATGCATCTGCTAAAAACCTCAAGGTCAGAGGTCAGGTTTTGTAAAAGTCTTCTGAATGCACTAACTTGAGAACAAGGTGACGTAGGATTTTGAATCCTACCAGGGCTACCAGCCAGCCCACTCAGGCTGTGCAGGTAGTCCTGCTCCTTTGTGATGGCACATCCACATCCAAGTGTCATCAGAAGTAGGTTTGCTGTGTCTCTCAGCCCAGCAGCACAGGTATCATCTTCTTTGTGCAAGGAGGAACAAGAAGAGCACAACTCAAGGTCCAGTAGTGACCTCTAACTCATGTGCATGCTTCTAAAACATCCAGGGTCCATCTATCTTCTGATTGATGGACCTTGAAGAGACAGGAGCTAAAACAGCTTGTTTCATGGAGATGATGAATTAAGGAACTTAAAGATTTTTTTAAAATCTTTTTTTTATCGTGTTACTATGCAAAGCTGCTCTGATGCACTCCCACAATAAAAATACTAAACTCAAACTGAGCAGAATGGGTCGCCTTTAAAAACAAAATCAATTTATACTTGCACACTTTTAATTATGAGTATTTTTTACAGTGTGGTGTCAGATCAGATTTAAGAGTCTGTATGTCATGATCACTCTTCAGCAGTGACACTTCCCAACTTTCTGTCCTCTTCTGAAGTTTATCGACAGGTTCACTGACAGTTTCTACGCCCGAGTGAGACACAGCGTGGTTCAGCCGTGCTAATATTTATCCAGACAGTGTGTGATAAAGCAGGTGCGGCGGGGTGGAGCGGGACAGTGACGGAGTTTTATTGATCGTAACAGGGCCACGTGGTCTCAGGTGTGTCCCAGCAGGAAGTGACCTCCCTGTGGAGGGAGGGGGTGATGGTGGCCAGAGAAATCGGGGCCTTGACGGGTTAGTTTGTCTAAACGAGCTGCTATGGTGATGCTGAGCAAGTCATCACACTCATTCAGCAGTCATCCATGAGTCAGCCTTTCTGATCCCAACAGTTTTAATCCTCCCTGCATGAACAGAAACAGGCACATTCATCGTTACCACAGACGGTCACAGCTGGAGCAGGATCAGCAGGAAACCCTCCTGGAGAACAGTTAACAGCTGGAAAAGGTGACCAGGATTCGGGGAGGATTCAGGGTTACCTGAATTATGCTGCAATAGGTCTAAGATGCTGGAAGATTCCCATGATGCACTGGGTGTTTCTTCTTCACTCACTATGTGTTAATAGACCTCTCTGCACTGAATCATACCTGTTATTAATCTCTGTGTCTCTTCCTTCTCTCACCCCAACCAATCACAGCAGATGGCCCCGCCCCTCCCTGAGCCTGGTTCTGCTGGAGGTTTCTTCCTGTTAAAAGGGAGTTTTTCCTTCCCACTGTCGCCAAAGTGCTGCTCATAGGTGGTCATATGATTGTTGGGTTTTTCTCTGTATGTTATTTTAGGGTCTACCTTAGAATATAAAGCTCCTTAAGGCGACTGTTGTTGCGATTTGGTGCTGTGTAAATAAAATTGAATTGACTTGAAATTGAAAATATCTGATGCAGGAGTGCAGACAAAACAAAATGAATTAACTGTTGAGAAATTACATTTTTATCCCTCAGAGTCTCAAATGTAATTGGACAAACTAACATCATTGTTTTTGCCCTGCATTTCTTTCCTTTGAGAAATTCTTGGGTTGTTTTTGCAGTTTTCTTTGACTGCTTGTCAGTTTGCATATGAAGCTCTGTCTGATCATCTTTGCAGCATTTGTCTGAGTCTGAGCAGAGACTACAGCCCCGTAGATTTCACAGCTCATCAGTGACCCACTGCAGCCACACACGCTCATGCCACAACAATACCTCCACCATGTTAGACACATGATATGGATGCTTCTAGATCATGAGGTGTTTCTCTCCTTCTGCATACTTTTCTCTTCTCATTATCCTGGTAAAAGTTCATCTTGGTTTCCTCCACCAAACAATTTTTTTTTCAGCGCTGTGTCGGCTCTTCTAGATTTTTTCCACTTCCTGTTCTTGAGTGTAATCCGTGGCTTGCACCTCGTTATAAACTCTTGATTGTAGACCTCGTTAATGACACCACAGTAACACCTGAAAAGAAGCTAAAGTTTTATCTTCCTTTTTATCTGCTTCTCTTTTATAAAGAGCTTTTATGTGAGAAAAGTTAATAAAAGAAAAAACAGACACAAAGCCCACAGAGCTTCATGCTGTAAGCAGTTTCACAGTCTGTGGTCGATGCATTTAGTTTATCCCTTTCTGTTGAAATCTGTATGGCTTGTAATTTTGTGCATAGCACAGGCAGGTTGACCTGCACGGTGATGACACCATCCTCGGCTTTCTCCACAGCTGCTGGATAAAATCCAGACTCAAAGCCATGAGTCAGTGCTCGATTGGGAAACCCTGGGATGATTTACTGAACCACCCTGATGATCCTGACAATGTTGTTGGGATGTGATAAGTCAGATAAGAAAAAGATATCCTGGGAATGCTGGACTGGATTCATGGTACAGGGTTTGGCTTCTGTGTATTGGGGCTATAAAAACAGGCATGGGGTCATGAGTGAGATTAGCTTCTCTGAATAAGTTGTGCAAAAGATTTCTTTCTTTAAAGGTTTCATACCGCTGCATGCGTTTTATCTACAGTAATCTGTGCAGGTGTAAAACTCCCCTTTTTTGGCTGCAGATATATTTTGTTTGGATAAACAAAGTCTCTGAATATTACTTGTTCTAGAAAAATGTAAACATGTGATTCCTCCTTTGAAAGCTGTTCTCTAAAAGTGAAGAGTCGTGATGAAGGGTGTTTACTTGCTGGGAGGTGAGGAGCTTTACACAGTGGTGTAATGCAGAGGAATGCGAGCTGAGTTCAAGCTGCCCTCGAAGGGACGAGCTGAACTCTGAGGGGCAGAAAAAGAAAATAAGGGCTGTCTGCGTGGCGCTGATAACACAATCAGAAACTCAATGTCGTCAGAGATATGAGAGCTGAGAAACGAGAGCCAGGTCTGCTCCGTGTGGAACTGAGGGCGACGCAGATCATCCACAAGAGGGCAGCAAAGGCCCAGTTCACCCGAGTCCACTGCAGAGCATAAAGGCTCATTGTGTGACTGTTATTACACTTCATGACACAACACAAAGAAAAATGAAGCAAACAGGATGAAATTTTTATGATGCAGCAGAACTGAAGGTCAAACATCTGCCGGGTGCAGGGAAGGAGACAAGGGAAGGACAGAAGAGAAGATTACTTTAAAAACAGAATGGAGACGGGAAAAGCAAAAGAAGCAGAGAAGAAGGAAGGACAGAAAAATGTCCGACCCTTATTTAAGGTGCACTCTGAGATGGCGCTCAGGTATCTGCAGTGCCTCATCCGATCCTCTGTTTTGCTGACACTGGACTTAACCTCGTTAGCAGCTAATCCTCAGGGCCACATTAACAGCTTTAACACAGAGTCGCCACAGTGTGCTGCAGCCCAGAGCTGTAAACAAGCTCCAGAACCAAAACCAGGCCCTTACCAAACCACCTTTATCCAAACCAGAGACAAAAAAGGCAGTGAAACGTCCACGGCTCTGAGGACAAACGAGGCCTCTGACTTGTGGAATCAAACCTGTAAATTAGAGTTATTAACAGCTTTATTACAACAAGTCAGCGACAGTGATGGTACTGAACTCGACATGTTAGTCACCGTTGGACCTGGAAGCTTTTTCCCTGACGTAGATTCAGTCATATGGAGCAGGTGGGATTCTAATAACAGAGAAATAAATCAGTGGATCGTTTCATTAAAAACAGAACCTCAAAAGAAAGCTTTTTCATTTTCTGCCCCTTCTCTGTTCTTTGCCCAAAACATCTCAACTAGGAGTCATTCAGGACGTGTCCCAGTCAGATGGTCAAGCCGCCTTAACTGGCTCCTTTCGATATAGAGGAGTAGCAGGTCTGCACCTCCTCAGCCCTCTAAGCCCAGAGGAAGCTTGTTTCTCATGGCCATAGGTGAGGCAGGAACATAGACTGATCATCCCCAGTCCCATCAGCACCTCGGGCTCTTTGTTGCTCAGTGAGCTCTTCCTTAGCAAAGAGTGACTGACTGGGGGTCGGCTGTTGCCATTTGCACAGAGGGGATGTTCTTGGTCGGGGATAATGTTTACATCGATGGTACCCAAGGTTTCCATCGGAAGATTGTTTTTCAGTTATTTATTTGGTGTCCGATTGCTGGATAGATCTGAACTTTATTGATAAACCATTGTGGTTTGGTTTGAGGACTGTGGTTCCCTTCATGGTTCAGCTTCTGAAAGTGTAACCTGATTCCATGTCTTGCCCTGCTCTGCCTTTCATCGGCTTAGTAATCTTGTTAGCAGAGTTCCTGCGTAATCCTCCCACAGTGTTCAGATCCCTGCAGGTCTACACGGCTTCTTCCCCGCAGCTCTGTGGGATGCTGCTGGACCCCAACTGAGCAACTCAGGTAGGACAAGAGACGCCCAACACTTTGACCACTGACACCTCCATGGATGCTGCGTAGCTTTGAGAACAATGAAATAAAGTAGATTAGGTGCCGTGTTTTGCTTACAGTTCAGGTGCATGCCCTGGTTTCGAATGGTAGTAGCTGGTGATTTGTACTCTTTAAATTTGTTTATACTTATAGTTCAATTTGAGCTTCCTGAACCAATGAATCAGGGCAGGAGACACAAGGCTGAACCATAACTATTGTTTTCTTCTTGGTCTGTGGTTTTATCAGGTTGTCCTGTAAATTTGATAAACTTGATTGCTGCTGATGCCGTGAACTTCTGCTAACACACACTCATTTGTTTGATATTGATCCCCAGTTTTGGGTCTTGTGGAGGTCTAACTGAGGCAGAGATTAATTAAACGTGGTTTCTGTTGAATTTTCAAAAGATGTTTTTCTTTTTTAACATTTTAGCATAAGCATCAACAGGAGAGCTCCCAAAGTCGCAAAATTGAACCGGGTGAGGGGTAGATTTAAGTAACTTTGAGCACATGAAGTCAAAATGGTTTAAAACTCCAAGTCATGTCTGCTGTAAACTCACCAGAGGTGCTCTTCTGTGAGTTTTTCTTTACCTGAACTGAAGCTGGAGGGTGTTGGTGACTCTGAAATCCTTTGAGAGCAATTTGTAATTTGGGATGACAGAGTTAAAACTGACTTAACACAAATAATCAGCTGCAGTGTGTGGAAACAAAAATCGAATCTTTTAGTAAAAAGTGGCACTACAATAATTTTAAAATCCAAAAAATCAGCCTATATTAAAAATATACTTGTGTGAAAGTATTAATTAACCCAAAATATAAAGTGCAAAAGTAAAAATATCATTTATGCACTAATTCAATGTGTAATTGTTCTGTTTTTAAATATTACACTCCTGAAATATAATAATGTCTTTTTATATGGTTAGTTGGTTAAGTTTACGGTTTGTGTAACGCATCATTATGAAACAAAAGTTAGAATATTTACCTCATAAATAAGGAGGTGATGATGCATAAAGAAGCATAAAATGAAAGTAACTTAAAAAATATACTTAGTTACTTTACAGGATGAAAACAATGGTCCAGATTAGTTTTGATAAATCTGGTTTAACCTGAGGGTTCGATCAGTTAGGAAGCTCTCTCTTTTGGCAGTTATCTGAAAGTCTAAAAAGAATAACCAGTCAATTCGAAAAGCTCTACTGCTTTCCTAAACCAGCTGATTCGCTCACCTGGCGAAAGAGCCAACTAGCTTAGCAGCTACTTTATAGACAAAAACAAAAAGTGAGAGAGACACAGACACCATGAAGACACAGACAGATGAATCCTTAAGTTTTACTTTTTAAAGCTAGACTTTCGTATATTTAAAAAAAAACAAAAAAAAAACATGGTGAGTCTGTGATGTTATCTGCTAATACAACCCGGCTTGATTAGCCTTGCGACGGTAATCAAGATGCTAATTGTAGCATATGAAACCAGGCTAGCTAACCTAGCTAAATATATTAAAACTAAATATAAATATAAAAAATAAACAGCTGATTCTTTAGTGTGACTTAGTCCAACTAAACACTGAAAAAGACATTTTTAGTCGACCAACCTTTAAACTCCAGAAAAACAAAGAGACTTCAGGCTGTTAGATGAGTCCATTATTTCAATGCACGCAACATACTTTCACATTGCTGCGCCTTGATCCTGATGCCAGGTCGTCATGAGTCAGTCGGTGGTTTTTGTGGGACAGCCCTAAAATGGTAGCATCTGTACCCTGTACCCTGGACATCCTCTTCCCTCCTGAAGGACCTGTACAGCACTCGCTGTCTCAAGAGGGCACGCAGCATCCTACGGGACTGCACACACCCAGGACACCGGGTGTTTGAGCTGCTGCCGTCTGGCAGGAGGTTCAGGCTGCTGAGGTCCCGAACAAATAGACTCAAGGACAGCTTTTACAACAGGGCAATAGCCCTGATCAATGTAAATAGTTGACCTGACTGGATACCTCCCTGGACTTTTTAGGGGGAGGTAACAATGTTTAAAACGATAACAATAATATTTATATTTATAACAAGGTGCAATAATAATTAATGTGCAATAATAACAGTGTGCAATACACATACACTTATTCTTCTTTTTTATACTAAGTTAATATACTGTGTTGTGTTGTTTGTTACGTTGTGATGTGTCGTATCGTGTCGTGTTGTGTTATATGTAGTGCCGACGTAGGACAGTTTTTCCAATTTCATTGTACTACTGTACTATGTATGACTGTGCAATGACAATAAAGAGTTATCTTATCTTATCTATCTTATCTTAAAAACACATTGCATAATGCTAACGTTGCATTTTATCACAATAATCATGCAGCTTTACCAGTTAACGCGTCAACTTTGTTCTGTGGTTGAAAACAAGCCAGATAGAGACTAATAACGTAAACACAATATACTTCAGTGTGAAATTTATGGTAATGTTGTTGTATTTCATTATCAAATGCAGTGTTTTAGAATATAAATATAACATGTTCACATCTTTCCATGTTGGCTTTCCTTTTTTAGAACTGGAAAAAAGGAAAACTGACTAACAAATTAGTCAGCTTCCCAACTGGTTAATTGGCACATACCCCAATTAGAAAGTAAAAGTGCCAAACTGGAGACCAGTGTAAATGAACGTATGGCTGCAGTGAAAAGCCGTTTTGTGCTGCCAGGCCTCCTGTGGAGGATTAGGGTCAGCATCGGTCTGATCTAATTCGGACTGACACTCAGTCAGACATGATCTAAACACCGTTAAGTGCAGCGGGAAGCTAATTGTGTTTGGTTTCCATGTGTCCTCATATCCACAGGCGTTTCCGTAGTGATTGTAAACACAGAGCCTGCCCTGACATGAAGAAGACGATAATATTTAGTAATAGGTTCACACTGTAATGGCTGACAGTGTCTGTTCTTCTTCTTTGAGGATGTTGAGCTGGGTGGTCAAAGTTGTTCCCCAGCCGCCTGAGCCCAAAAAATCAGAAGAACAGAAGGATGCTGCCCCGCCCCCTGCTCCTGCCCCGCCCCCTGCAGCTGCTCCGCCTCCAGTTACTGTAAGCTTTGCCCAACTAAAAAATGTTTTATTGTGTCATGTTTACAGAGCATTGTGAAGCAGAATGGGTTGTTTGCCTTAATAACTCAAATTTTTGTGCTGTTCTGGAAACCACAAGTCTGTGTGGTACCGCCACACTTTAACAAAAACACATGTTATTAACAATGTCTAATATTAAACTGAAACAACAATGTTGGTGATTGGCAGAGGTTACCGTTACTATGGAAATGTTGAGACCCATTATTTGAACCTGAAACTCATATCATCAAAATCAAATATTTTTTTTAATAATCTTGATTCAGCTTGGAGCTAATTGGCTTGTTTCAAGGCTTCAAACTCTTTTTTCTGAAACTGATCAGAGAAAATGAACAGGAAATTCACTACGGTCACTGGACTATCATGATTCTGTAAACTATGGTGTTGAAGTGTGTGTGCTAAATGTCCATCATGATACTAATACTTTTATCCAGAAGTAGTATTTGCACTGTTACTTTTTATGCATTATTTTAGTTAAATATATATAAGATGACTTTGTGTGTTAAACAGGAGAAGAAAGTGAAGTTTCAAGATGAAGTCAAAAGTGAAAGTAAGATCATTCACATGCAAATCGTTTAACTTTGTGTAGCTCAGTCGGCATCTTTGTTTTTTAAAAATATTAAACATATATCAATGTTTGACTGACAGCACCAAAAGCTGAAAAACCAATGCAGGAACCTCAGACAGGAGCGGAGAATGGGTAAGTTATAACCTACAAATATACCACACAAGACACAATGTTTAAACTTAAACACAATGTTAAACCTAAACTATACAAAAGGAGCCAGCAGTGCAGCTCATATTTTCCTCCTTATTTCCTGAAACCTTTCCTCATAGTTGCATAAAAATTAGTTGTTATTTATACGCAAGTTACAACTGTATTTCCAGCAAATCCCAACACACACTGGTTTTTATTTATAAGGACAAATATTTTTCCAAATGAGTTTATTTGTTTGGAAAAGTACACATGAACAGTATTATAACAAACATTATGGTACAACTGATAAATATACAACTCGGAGTTCCCAGTTCAAGCTATGGCTGATAGCTACATTAGCCTAAACTGCTGCTAAATTAGCTGAAATCTAATGCTAACCTAGTCTTTCAAAGATAACTGAAAAACTAATTTTCCTCTGAATTTTCTTAATACTTCTATAGAAAAAATAGCTGGATATTTATGACATTTTATAAAATGTTTTTTTTATTGTTTTTATTTTTATTATTATTTTTCAGTAAAACCTAACTTAAAGGTTTTATTAATCCTAAAACCTAATATTATACAGATTTACTAATGAGTACTAATAGCTCTAAAATTCCTGTTTGATTCAGCTGTTAGACTTTATTGACAGTTACCGTATTTTTCGGCCTATAAGGCTCACTTAAAATCCTTTAATTTTCTCAAAAATCAACAGTGCCCCTTATAATCCGGTGCGCCTTATATAAGAATTCTGGTTGTGCTTACTGACCTCGAACTGATTTTATGTGCTACACGGCGCTCAAAAATCTTTCAAAAAAATGTTTTAGTACGACTTTGGTAAGCTATGAAGCCGCACCGCTTGATGGATTGTTGGAGCATTACGGCTGCCATAGTCAGGAGCCTCGCAGAGTACTCTGGATCCAAAACTCCGTCCGCTTCAGGTCCCAAAGTCAAACGAACACTGCAGCATCACTGAGAGTTAAAAACTGTCTAAACTCTTCATCTTTAATAAAATGATCAGCGTTGCTGCTTTACCAGGTGTAACAATTAAGTTTAAAATCCAGGCATCCATGAAAACAGAATTTATTAAATGTAAACATGCAAATTAAATGTATGAGTTAGAAGTTAGCAGGAAGTTAGCTCGCTAGCTTCCACCTAAACATGATATAGCATGTTACTGAGAGATTTCTGAAACAATTCAAACGTACAGCTCTGCTATCACTTCCAACATAAATGAAGACAGGAAACTAAACAGTAGTGACGTTTGTAGGGTTACTGAAGTTGGGCTAGCTGGTATATAATGATGTGCTACGTGGTGGCTAGCGGCACAGCTATGTTAGCATAACATAAACACCGTGAAGCTGGTGGATGAACGCTAACGTTTTTCCATTCAATAAAACTTAACGTGAGGGTTCCCGATCATTAGGGACAAATGCCAAACTTCAGTCAGGAGAACAACTGAGATAATCCATCCACAATACGAGTTAGTCATTAATATACTGCAACAACATGGGAATAGAGCAGCTGTTAGGGAATTCAATATTAATGAATCATTGGTACGGAAGTGGAGGAAGCAAGAAGAACTAGTTGAGTAAAGTGTTTTGTTTTGCTCCTTATAATCCGGTGCGCCTTATGGTCCAAAAATACGGTACTACACGATGGAAACATGATGTTAATGATGGATTCTTCACTGTGAATGTCTCATAGTTTAATTTTATCTGTGATAATACTCCCCTGGAGAATGCACCGTTAGCTTGCTAAGAGACTTTTCCCTTCTTAATGATTTTAGTACCTTTTTTCTTACCTCTGACTCCAGTGAGGGAAGTAACCAGTGACATTTTCCTTGTACACACTAAAGATTAAATATCTCTTTATGTTTTTCAGCCTTTAAACAAGCTGCATAGTTTCAGTAGCATTTTTGATTTTGAGCCCTGATTATATTTCGGTTCAGTGTTACTTTAGAAGGGAAAAAAAATCTTTGCTTTGTTCCAGGAGAGTGAATAAAAAGCCTGAATTTAAACGTTTACATCCTCAGCCCAGCAGCTGGGTCTCAGAGCGGCATGCTGACGTGGATCAGCGGCGCTTTGCCTCAACCTGCAGTCTCACCGAAAATGAGCCGAGCAAACTCCACTGCCAAGGTGAGGTCCTGATAAACGACCCTGGCTCTGACGCAGAGTCAGACTCAAGCTACATTTTTCAAAAAGAGAAGTCTGTGAGGTTTTCATACACATCAGATGAAATCTCTGTTGGTTTACAAGGTGGCAGTCCTGATTTTAGCCCTTAGTCAGTTTTTCAGTTTTTCAGATTTAGATTTTCAAAAAACAGAAAATTGATCGCAGCTTACACACACAGAGCCACTAGTCACAAACACTGTTGCATGTCAAGGTAGAGATCGACAACAATGAGGTCAATAAATAAATAAATACATTAAAAGTAAGATAAAAACTAGAATACAAGGAGAAATGTCTAAAAATGATCAACTGCATAATCATTTCCTTTGTTATTGACACATTTAAGTCCAGATAGTTATCATCACACCACTTTACAAATTCAGGTAAAACAGGATCACAGTGCTCTGTTCTCATAAGATGTCCTGCAGATGTCGGTGTACATAATAAAAAGAAGATGTGCCAGAACAAAGCCCTGAGGTGAACCAGAGCTTCACACAATCCCACTGGACATTTGTCCGTTAACAAGGACCTGGACAGACTCGCGCTCTCGCACAAATATGAGGCTGCATCTTGTTAAAAGCAGAGGAGAAATCAGCAAACGGAAGTCTTGCATAATAATGATACTTTTTAAAATCTCACTAGTGGTTTAAGTGTGCTGTGAACCTTCCAGAACATAAACTGTTCCTTCTTTTAATAATAGGAGTCACAAAAAGACAAAAATAAACAGAAGCAGAGACACAAAGAGACCACTTCTCTTTGCCCATTTCTTCTGCTGACTTATATTCTCCAGGCATGATCGACTCTTCTAGTGTCCAGACCTGACCTGACCCTGAATGCTCACTATCTTTATAATTGGCTAACAATGTCACCTTAACAGTTTCCCAGGATTATACCTGTAGTCCTTCCTGAAAGCTTCATCTGAACCCCACACCTGCTTGATGTCTCTCTGAAAGCGCTCGTAGGGCCAGTTTGAGAAGTTAGTTTGTGATTCAGAAAACGCTGATGTTTTTACGAGTCTTGGTCTGATCGATTTGAACATCTGCTGCAGCTGGATCCAGCAGTTCTTTCAGGTCCAGCTCTTTTATTGTTCTGATAGTGTTTCCTTCTCTTTTCACTCATGCTGCCTACTCACAGGAGGAAGTTGAACCAGCCAGGTAAACAGCTGTGTGTGAAACAGCTCTGTGTTCAGTCTCGTGATATTTTTGTAGAAGCCGGAAACGTCAGAACTGTTAGACTCAGTAATGGACTTTGCATTTTCTGCCCTGACAGTAAACCCGAAGACGAGTGAGTAACCACCATAATAAAAACTAAATACTAATCTGATTCATAAGCCGATCAGCAGGCATATTGCCAAATAGTGAGCAGCTTGAAAAGCTTATCAATGAGCGGAATGCCAAATAGTGAGCAGCTTATCAAAGGCAGGATGCCAGAGATCGAGATTCTTTACGAAAAGCACCAATAGATCAGATGCCAGATAGCGAGCTGCTGTTTAATCCTTCATTAAGCTTCGCTGGATCTTCCCCAGCGCCTCCTAGTGTCCCGTAAAATCCCTCTCACAGTTATTAATGCATGTTTCTTCCTTAGCAAAGGGATGATTGCCTGGATATCTCAGGGTCTGGAGAAGGTTGTTCCTCAGCCTGAGTTGAAGAGCAAAGAGCCGCCCACAGCTGAGCAGCCGGCAGAGGTACGCCAGCACTGACTGATGGACTCCAGCAGCTTCATCTGAAAGCTGTTCATGTCTCGGCCAAGTTACTCCTGGCCAGTCCTTAATTGCACCTAAGCAGTCAGCATATTTTGAAGGTCTCACTGTTGTTGTAAATAGTGTTTGTTTTAAGTATCTGACCAAACCCGGCCATCGACTGTCAGCTAAAGTTATTAAAGCTAATTTACATCTCTGATTTCAATTTTATTTTAAACAAAAACACACATCTGACTCTGGAGTGTTTAGATCATTAATAGTTCTTTTTTAAAAAGTTCTGCTAAAGTCCAACATCCACCACAATCATTTAAAGAAATCCTGAACACAATCTGAAACCCCAACAGTGTGTGGAAAGCTAAAAGTAATCTTAAACATTGGGAAATCATTGATTACAGATTCTGCAGTGTTTCCATCTCCATGATCATATTTTTAGCTTTTACCAAAAATATTCCTGCCTTGGTTACATGCTTGTTTCTCCTCAGGTGCGTCAGGCTGCACCTGCTCCAGGTGAGAACAGACCTGAATATGTTTGCAGACACGGACTGGATTTTAGCTGCTGCTCAGTCAATCATCAGTTTCCTTGTCTTTCAGCTGCAGAGCCTCCGGTTACTGTGGTGGAGGTGAAACCGGACCGAGATGACAAAACTGAAAACAAGCCACCGAGGTCAGCGTCCTGTTTTACAACATTATCTTTCCTTTAAATAAGCGTCTGTGTTTTATTAAGATGCAGGGGCGGACAGAACTATTTATACATTAGATCAGCGGTCCCCAACCCCCGGGCCATTTGGTACCGGGCCACTAGGGCTGAGGCTCAGGTGTGAAATTCATGGTTTTCAAGATTTTTATCGTTTTTTAATTTTATTTTTTAAATGTCTTTACTGTTAACTCTGTTTCCCCGGGTCTTTTCCTTGTGTTATGAATAAATCTTCTTTTTTGTGGTACTGGTACTGGTTTTATTTTGTTGTATTTATCTTTGACAACTTAAAGGCCGATCCGTGAAAATATTGTCGGGCATAAAAGGTTGTGGACCGCTGCATCAGATGTTAGAGGTGAGAGATGGGTGGGTAAATGAGACTCAGGTGAAGATAATTAAGCAAAACAAGAAGTAAAACTTGAGATAGACAGAGGAGAAAATGAGACAAACAAGACATAAACAGAAGGTTAACACAAAGAAACAGAACTCAGCCACCTCACAGGAGCTAACTGTTCGTGTGATATTTCAATCTGCCTGTGTTCTTACTCACAGCATGATAGACTGGATCAAACAGGGCATCGAGAAGGTGGTTCCTCAGCCAGAGATCCATGTTCGCTCAAAAACGGAGGCTGAAGCTCCAGCTCCGGCTAAAGGTATCTTTACTTCTTATTCAGCCACAAATCATCATTATAGACCTATTTAGCTCAGAGATTTTCTTTCATGTTGTGGTGGTAAATGTTTGATTTGAATTGCTTTGCTTGGTTGAGCTCACCTGAAACATCATGTTCTGCTGACAGCTGGAGAAAAGAGAGTACTTATTCTTTCTAAAACAAAGATTTGGACATTTAATCACCTTCGACTGGCTGTACTTTTGTGATATTTGGTCCTGGTTGAAAACACAGAGGTCAGCATAGTTGTAGATAACCTTCACAAAAACCAATAGAATCAGCATTTTATGGAAATACATGTTTAGATATTATTCAGCAAGAAAATCTTTACGAACTGATGACAGCTTTCTGATTTTTTTAACTATAAATGCAGTTGCTAACAGCAGTGTAAGCTAACACTAATGTCCTCTGATCACATTAAACGTCCAACTTCTGTAATTCTACTTAGCCTCTTTCTGCCAGATGCCTTTTCTTGGACATGTAAAACTTTAGGATTCAGTGGTGCCGTTTTGTAAAATTGTGCTAATATGATTTGCTCCTCCCCTTTTAAACAGCTGAAGCTCCGCCTCCAGCTCCTCCACCTGTCCCCAAACCAGCCCCAGAGACCGAGAAGTGAGTCAAACCTTTGTCACGGTGTTGTGTCCTGTTTTAAAGTCTTTAAAAGGGAATCAGGCCCTGCGGAATGATCTATTTTACTCTAAATTGGACCATAATTTACAAAATGAGCATCATGTTTCATTCGGTAAGATTTAAAACTAGTGATTGAGACCATAAACTCACCGGAAGGTGTTACTTAGCTCAGAGATCAGGTGAGCAGGAAGTACATTTTCTCACAGCCTTCTACAAAATCATGCCAGAGGAGTCGCCCCCTGCTGGTTATTAGGAAGAATGCAGGTTTAAGGCAGCTTTGCTTGATTTTTTCAAAGCTGGAAGCTCAGGTCTCTCCTACTTTTGTCCTCACAGGTCCACCAAGGAAGCCGAGGAGCCACCAAAGTAAGTGGAAACATGTTTATGTTGAGATAGAAAAGTATTTTGTCCTTGTTAGCAGGGAAGCTAGCGTTAGTCCAGACAGAAGAAAAGCAGTTCAGCGTCAGGTTTGGTCCTGAAAACCAAACAAAGCATCCCTCCGTGATTCCATGCGGATGTTGACTGTAGTTTTCTAAAGTCTTCTTGTTCTTCCAGCATGATGGGCTGGATCGTCAATGGGATCGGTCGTATGTTGCCTCAGCCCGTGCAGAAGTCGGTGAGTTGCTGCTACACGACGCTCAGCTCTCGCAAACATGCCATAAAATTCCAGTTAGGTCAGGTGACCTGAAGGTGTCATCTGTTTCCTTCATACAGGATGCAGGAAATGACGAGGTGCAGACCAGTAAGTACAACAACAAACCAACATCAGAGTTGCATCACACTCAGTTGTGAGTTTATTAGTGGCCTATTGTACGATGAGCAGCTTGGACAGAAAATACTGAGATACAGATAATTTACATCCATCCATCCCAAAGGGAACAATACAACAGGAAACGCAGCTCGATGATCCGATATAAATGCACGTGAAAAAGAGACTTTTTATATGCTGTAGCTTGTTTTGAGCAGCCACCACTCACACATGAAGATCCCAATATAGACTTTCTGAAGTTGGCTGAAAGTTGGTTATAGAAATCATGCTGACTGAAAACCTGGTTTATCCTTACACTGTGACTCTTGGAGTGGGTGTAAAATGCATTTGGTTGTTTGGATGCGTTCATTAAATATACTAAAGTTCTATATAAAAACATTTGCTGATTTAGTAGAAGTGAGGTGGGGAAATTTCTCGCGTTTCATTGTTACAACCAAACTTTTCGATGACAAACACACTAAACCGAGCTACAGATTTAAGTCAATTAAAAAGTAATTTTCTTACTACATCTATTTTTTTAGAAGACCCCATTTATATTATTCTGTGACACGTACACTGGCCAATTGATTGATTGGTTAGTGGTAGGTCAGGGGTTGGTGTCAGTGATGAGGCAGACTGTAACTGGGCTGCTCTTCTCCTTCTGTTTCAGGGGGGAAAGGCGGACAGAGCCCCTTAAAATAAAAGGAGAAGGAAGAGCGGGACAGAGTCGCTCACACTGACACTGACAGCAGCAGACACTTTAACTGACTGACGGACACTCAGAGCTGTTTGCGCACAGCTACGGCAAGATTCAGTCCTGTAGCACTCACAAAGCTGCACTGCTTTTGTTTTGCACAGCCATCGTGCGGAACTTAAACTTAGAAAAGGGGCACAATTGTATGATTTTATTCAAGGGGACTCATTCTGCTTCTGCTCCCTGTTTTGATTGTTTGACTCTAACAGAGTAGCTTTGCATGATTCAAAGTCCAAAATAATCCTTTGTCTCACACCGGGTCGTTGTTCATTCACAAAGTTCTTTCTTTGTCTAAAACATTATGTTAGCTCCTCCCCCTTTCTTATGATAAGCTGCCCTTTATAAGGTGGGCGGGGCATCCGTGTCTGAGATGACCATATTAGGGTTAATCTCACTCTTTGTCCATGTTTAATATGGACTTCCACCATCTGAACAGGAGATATTTGAAGGAAAACAAACAAAAAGCAGAATATGTCCCCTTTAATGAACACCAGTTATGATTAGGAAGTCTTTATTGCTATGCTCTGTTTAAAGTCCAAGCCTTTGGTGCCCCTTCATACTGGGAACTCTGGATTGCTGGTAGTCCACGTCAACTGCTTGCTTGGTAAAGGGGACCAGTTGTTCTCATTTCCAGCTCTTTAATCTTTTAATCCTGGAACTTAACCAGAGTAACTTGGCAAGATTCTCAGGTGAAAATAATTCTTATTTATCGTATATTGCCCCTTTATGTAGTTTCCTGTCTGAAACTAGCTGCTTTAGCTCCCGTCTCTTCAAGGTACCCATCTCTAAAAGCCCAATGCCTTCTGATTGCCTGACTTATGGAAGCCTACAGAGGGGCAGCACCTTCTGTTTTTGAGATGTACTGCCTGTACGTCATGAGCGTGCTGTTCCTGTAGCAAGTGACTTCTGCGTAGTCTTTGAAACTTTGAATACAAATAAACATAAATATGTTTATTCATATTAAAATGATACCAGCCAGAAACTGAGGTAAAGCACAACTGGTCCCCTTTGAAGGTTTTTGCTAAATCATTGCAGACGACTACAAAGGAAGCCTTTTGCTTAATATTTATTATAATAAAGACATTATTTGGAAAAAAAGGTGTCTGTTGTGTTGTTGTTATAAACCTGAAAAGGGCAATAGACCTATCAATCAACCAACCAATCAATCAGTTATCAACTGTTCAAAAATCTAATCATTTCTAGCAACTTAAGCTTTTTTAGGACTCAAAGCACATTTATTTCTAAATTCTTCAATTAAAATGTTTATTTCAGACATGCCAGTTAAGTAGCAGGTGCTTAAATACTTCACAATATGGACCAAAAGGAGCCGTTTGAAAATCTAGACGTTCTAATAATTAAACCCGCACATCTAAAACAAATGAAAATGCAGTTACTCAGTATGAATTACCTGAATTACTCCAAACACAGTCCATTTCTTGACTTTAACCTTTTTAAAGCAAAAGTTTCATACTAGCCATCTGTTAGGATTACTAGATTGATGTATGTTTCTTATTACAACCTTTTAAATGAATACTCCAGCTTTTACTGCACCTTCTTGGAGACTTCTAAACACATAAATATAGAGAAAGTCTTCAGCCCTGTTCTTCCTGCCATGTGCCATTCAGTCAGTATCATACAGAAGAACACAGACCTGGTGCTGGAGGACATTGAACAGGAAGAAGTCAAGGAAACAAAGCCGGAGGTGAAGGAAGAGCCACAGCTGGAGAAGAAAGAGGATGTGAAGTCATCCAAAAAGGAGGTGAGCCTGACCTGACCGCATGATTGTAACACACAGTTCTGAGCCACACCAGTGTAATATGCTCACTATGAACATAAGTATTTTAAATCAAATTGTAGTTCTGCCACAGGTAACATGGTACTAACATGGTACTAACCCATGTGGAAGAGTGGTATGGTAGCAGCTCTGCAGTCGTAGTCCCAGAAAGGCATGACAGCACTTCAGTTACCAGTACATGTCCTTCAGGATATCAGTATCCCAATGCCATGGGACAATCAACATGGTAATACCAGTGTAGGCACTGTGTCTATTTATATGGTACCATGTTTGGTATTATGGTTTCACAGTAACTACAGGGCACTCTACTATGGTAGCACCAAAGTAATGGCAGCACTTCTATTACCACTGTAGTAAAGATTGTAGATGGTGTATAAACTTTTGTCCTTAAGAACAAGGGTCCAATAACCCCAGTGGCATTTGGAAGGATAAGTGTTAATACCAGTGCTGGTACTGTGGCCATCTAAATGTTACCACGGTCATTTTTGAATTAACACTTTCAGTGGGAAACTGGTACTACCAGAATAAGTTATTTAGTAAGCACTTTAGGTACTGCAGCACTTCAAATACCACTGTAGTACTGGTTGTACCGTAGTATGTTTTGCAGACCCAGGATACCAGTATTCCAGTACCATGGTAAAAGTGAAATGGCAGGAGAACTGTAAACACTGTGGTAAATAGTGTGATATATGACAGCAGTCCCCAACCTTTTTTGCGCCATGGACCGGTTTATGTCTGACAATGTTTTCAGAATCAGACTCCAGTCTCAGCACTATGGGGAAGGATAAGGTAATACTAACAAAGGCCTTGTGTAAACGTTATCATGGTGCTACCAGAGTTCATTAGGTGACTGATGACTGCTCGAGTGAACTGTTGCTATGTAACTAAAATCATCGCTGGTTGCAGACTGGAGATGCAGAATCACAGGTGGATGAGTTGAGTCCACTGATTGACAGCATCAAAAAGGAGGCTGGAGAGGCAGTCCTAGCTCACATGGAGGAAAGGTTAGCCTCAGTCTTTTGTCTCATATGTGCAATAAGGATGATGATGATGATGTCTCTTGGGTGTTTTTGGGGAGCAATTTTAGCAAGATGTCTTTGTTATTTAAGTCACATAAATTCTTCTATCCATGACTATTGATTAATCTTGTTACAGGCTGCAGCAGGAGCGTCTGGAGGCAGCTCGTGTGGCCGAGGAGATGGCCAGAAAGGCAGCGGAGGAGGCAGTCCGCCAGCTCGAGGTGGAGCATTCAGCTAAGATTGTAATAGAAACACTACCAGAGTCCAATGAACAGTAAGTAACATCAATTCAAAACATCACGCATGAGCAGCACCATGGCAAAGTGCTCTAACCTATGAGCTTATTGGGATTTATCAAAAAAGATCCTTTTAGTATCTCAAACATCTGAGCAGTAGTATGGTAAACAGAAAACAGTCCAACGTGACCTGAAACCTCGAATTGCTCCTGTTTGCTTTGAACAGGCTGCCCAATATCCTGGAAGAAGAAAACGAGGATGATCCAGAGTAAGTTTCCTTTTGTGAAGCCCAAATAACAATGCTGTGGGTCTTACATGCTGCTTTTGTGCTCCTAGCTTAGGCTGCTGCAGCTTTTATATCACCTGAAAGTGATGGGACAGGTGAGACAATGTTCTTATCTCAAACACAATCCACATAGCACTTTATATTCCAAGTGTTGGGTTGAACAGTGTGTTAAATAACTTACATGCTACTGCTGAACTCCTATCAGCAACATGTACGTTTTCATGAAAAGAGAAATTTCCCAGCTCTCTTTGCTGCCTTTAACAACAGGCTGGTTTCTCTCATCTTTGATTGCACTCAAATCGAAGGATGCCACATTAGCTAGCAACATTAGATAACAATAACTAGAAAAAAATCTTTTTTATCTAATGAATGCTGTCTAGCCAAATTGAAGTGTGGGGAAATGAGGATTATCGTCAGCAGAGCATTTTATTGATGGGGGGTCTTTGATTGAAAGCTGTCAATCTTGGCTAATATAAGCAAACACTAGCTTACTTGTTAGTCTTAAAGATTTGTAAGCTACCTCACACACCTCACTCCCAGGGCTGTTTGTGCAGATAAATTAGGTTTTTCTAAGTTACTTTATCAGCTAACATTAGCTAACATATTTAGCTAATAGTGTTATATTTAGCTAATAACACAGCTAACATATTTCTGTAGATAGCTTACATAGCTAAATTAGCTAGCTAGCTAACCGTAGTGTCCTCAAGTTACTACTTGAGAAAATCGCTGGAATGTAAATGCTTATTGGCTAGTTGGCTACATCTAAGTTAAAAACAACTGCTAACACTAACTAGTACTACATGTAACGTTATACTGTACTGACCTCAGCCAACAGTAAGTCATGTAACAACACAAAGCCAAGGTGTATGGCATCAATGTCACTGTACAGGACATACAGGTCATACAGACCCCTGATGTCGGTCTGTCATTCATAACAGCTGTTTTTATGTCACGCCATCTGTAAGATCCTTCCCTGAACACTGATCTTCCACATCAGTCAGGTTCCGCAAACCAGTCGACTAGTTATTAAATGTCAAAAAAAATAAAACCTTAAAATTCCAACTTCTATATGTTATAATTATGAGAACATCTAAAACAATTAGAAGAGCACGAAATTGTAAAAATACTATACATTCAGGTCCCATTCAAAGAACAGGCTGTTGGAATAGGAAGCGTTATTGTTGGATTCAGCCTGTTTTTCTTTAAATTGATAGAAAATTGATTTGAGATCGCTGCTGTCGCTCTGTGCTACTTGTTTCTGTTCTTGTAGAGTTATGAAATATTTTGTCAACATTTTCCACATAAGGCCTCCAAAGGTTTGCTGTGTGCATATCCATGTGTCCATGGATAACAGTAGTGTAGTTTGTGGACAGTTTCTGCTGGTCTAGCCTTTTTAGTTTAACAGCAGGCTTCATCTTCACCTTCGCTGCTCTCTGCTTAGCTCTGTCGCTACCGCCTTTAGCTTCAGAATGGTTGAAAGATGAGCTCAGCTGTCTCAGGTGTCTGACTGGGACTCTCCATCTTATTTAACATTTGCTGCACGCTGTTCAGGTTACAAAACCTGCAGGAGGACAGTGAAGACAGCACAGAGAATCAGAGTCCTGAGGAAAATAAAGTGACAGAGGAAGATAAAATCAAGACCACTGTTGAGGAAGAGACTAAATCTGATCAGTAAGTTTGGTCATAGAATTTGGTCTGCTTGTAGAGTAAGAAACTAAAAGATACTCAAATAGTTTGCACACACAAGCGTGCACTAAGAGGCTGATGTGCCTGCTGGCATTATCAGATTTATGAAGCTTTAAACCTTTTACATCTTTTTAGAGCAAACTGAAGTCCTGCCCTGTTCCTGGCTGGTATCTCTTCTTTTTAACAGAAGGTGTTTGTTCGAACTTGACTCGCTCCACTAGGAGCTGAAATCAGTTTTGTCACTTGGAGAACATCCTGAAGGATAAAACCAGAGGGCCGCGCAGTCAGTTCTCCCATAGCTTTTTCCTCAAACTTTGTTCACAGCTCGTTTACTTTTCCATAGCACTAATGTTGCCTGGGTACTAAAGAGTCCAATGTATTTGCAGGAGTTGGTTGGCCAAATAAAACACTACCCGGTTTTATTTGGCTCCTTTCTAGCGCCAATGAATAAGACCTAACGAGAAATGGTCATTTCAAATCTTCAAGTTGTCATTCGGTTGTTAAACTAAACTTTCAGCGCCTTGAGGTAACTGGTGTTGTGATTTGGTGCTACAGAAATAAAATTGAATTGAATTAAACTGTATACCCAAGATGAATGTTAGAGACTTTTTTAAAATTTGCCATGTAGTTAAAACAAAATCCAGCCCTTCCTATGATGGGTCACTGATGACGTCCAGCCTACACAT